TCTAATTGTTGGAGATGATGGGTTAAGGTGTTGATTTGGGCTCCTCTTTTTTGATGTGTACATTTATTGCTATAAATTATCTGCTGATCAATGCTTTTACTGTGTCCCATGGATTTTGATATGTTGTGTTTTCATTCTCATTTGATTCAAGGAATTTTTGATGTAATTTTTTAATTTCTTCTATTACCAGTAATTTTTAAGGAGAGTGTATTCAGGTTCCATGTGTTTCCTCTTTTCCATTGGTCTTCCTGGTGCTGATTTCTTATTTTATAGCATTGTAATCTGAGAAAATCCTTTGCATTATTTCAGTGTTTTAAAGTTTATTGAGGTTAGCTTTGTGGCCTAACATATGTCTATCATGGAGAATATTCCATGTGCCCTGGAAAAGAATGCATATTGTCCTGTTGTTGGGTGGAGTAGGTCAAGTTCGTTGATCATATTGTTTAGTTCTTCTGTGTCTTTGTTCAGTTTCTTTCATGTTGTTCTACCTCTTACTGAAAGTGGTGTATTAAAGCTTAGTACTATTACTGTGGAATCATCTTATTTTCTTTTCAATTCTGTTATAGTCTGCTGTATGTATTTTGGGGCTCTTTCATTGGATTTGTAGATATTTATTATGGTTATGTCCTCTTGTTCAAGTGGTCCTTTAATCATTACATATTGCCCTTCCTTATCTCTTGTGGTTGTTTTGTCTTAAAGTCTATTTTTATCAGAAATTAATATGGTCACGGTTGGCCTTTTTTGGTTGCCATTTGCTTGGTATATTTTTTTCTAACCTTTGATGTTTAGTCTATTTTTGCCTTTGTGTCTAAGGTGAGTCTCTTGTAGATAGCATATTGATGAATCATGTTTTCTTAGCCAGTCTGCAACTCTCTGTCTCCTGAGTGGTGCATTTAATCTGTTTATATTCAGTGTAATTATCGACAAGTATGTATTTATTTATGTCATTTTGTTGTGTGTGTGTGTGTGGTGTTGCTAATTTCTTTCTTCCATATAATTGTCTGTGCTGAGCTCATTTTGTTTATGAGTCATGTCTTCTCCTTCATTGCTATTGTTTTAGTATTTGCTAAGTATTTGTGCTTATCCTCTTTTTTTTTTAATTTTGATGTGAAGGTTTATTATTTTTCTTTATGATTTCCCTATAATTTATAATTTTCTTCCCAAGGTTAAAACAGTCTATTCTATCTCACAATTGTCTTGACTTCTTCACCATTTAGAAGTTCTATCACTACACTATTTATTACCTTTTTTTTTCTTTGGTTTGTAGTTGTCCTCATTTACCAATTGATGTCCCTGGTTCCCTGTAGTCTTGTAAGCTTGTTTTACTTCAGAAACTTCTATAACTGGGTTGGTTTCTTAGTTATGTCTTCTTGTGTATTAATTGTTGGTTGTTATTTGTTGTTTGTTCTCTGTCTAAACATCTAAACATCTTTTGTTAAGTTGGTCAGGTTTTAACAAATTCTCTTACATTCTGCTTATCTGGAAATCTCCTAATTTCATCCTCATATCTGTAGACAGTTTTGTTGGGTATATAATTCTTTTTTAGAAAGTTTATTCTTTCAGGATTATATATATATATATATATATATATAGTCTCATTGCCTTCTCTTCTGCATAGTTTCTCTGAAAAATCAGAGATTGTTCTTATTGGTTGCCCTTTGTAGGTAACTTCATTTTTACCATGCTGCTTTCAGGATTCTTTCTTTGTCTTTGGTTTTCGTGAGTTTGATGATGATACATCTTGATTTTCTTTTGGGGTCTATCATGTTTGGGGTTTGTTGAACTTCTTGAATGGATATATTCTGTCTTTCATATTAGATAAATTCTCTTCCAACAAATCTTTGAAAATTATCTCTGTGTTTTTAACTGTCCCTTCCTGTTCTGGGATTCTGACTACATGTAGGTTATTCCTCTTGATGGTATCCCATATGCATCTTAGGCTTTCTACATTATGTTTTGATCTTTTGTCTGATTGATCCCTTAACAATGTAGTATTGAGACATTTGTCTTTAATCTCAATTCTTTCTGTCCTTTGCTCATTCAATGTGTTATCTATTTCTGAAATCTTATTATTCTTCTGGATTTCTGTTTGTTGTTTTTAGATCATTTCTAATGTTTTGTTTATTTTGTCAATTTGTTCTTGTATTATTTTCCTAAATTGTTCTAGTGCTTTATCTGTGTTTTCCTTAATTTTGTAAGTGTTTTCCTTGATCCTGTCAGTGTTTTTCTTGATCTGTCTCTCAATCTGTTAAAGGTACCCAAATATAATTATTTTGAATTCCTTATAAGAGACTTCCAACCCTGCTTCTTCCTCAAGGATCTTTTCTAGGTTTGTATCCTGGTCCGTTTCTACTACTTTGTCTTGCTTTGTTTTGGGGGGAGACCCACTGGGATGGTCTGTTGTCTTAGAGACATTGTGGTGGTGTATTTATGTTTAATGTGTGGTTGTATATGGGTGTGATTCATGCAAGATTTTTTTTCCCATTTTTTAAAAAATATATATGTATATCTGTGGGAACAGGATACTGTGTTCCTCTATTCATTACTTTTTAGCACTTAGGCACTCACCACCAGCCTCCTGATGGGTATGATAGAGTGAAAGTGTGTGTACAGATCTCTGTTGGCTATTTATAAAGAGCAGTTGAGGGTGAGTTGAGCTGATATTGACTGTCTTCTATTGTTGTTCAGTTGGTGCAAAAGCAAGTGGTGGCCCTCACTCAGTGGGCAGGGCTGCAAGAGGTGCAGGTATGGTTGGGTTATGTGGGAATGGTTTCTGTCTCCCTCTCAGACCAAAAATATATATATAAACACACACACACACACAAAGAGAACAAAAAACTCAAACCACATAAACATATGCACAATCGCAAAAAAAAAGGAGAAAGCAATAAATAAGAAGAAAAAAATTCAAAATATGTTTTAAAAGGATAAAAGAATGAAAATGCAAAAAAGAGGGAAAAAAGAAGCCACAATATCTGGAGAGGGAGGAATGAGAGAAAAGAGCAAGAGTAAAAGAATAGGGAAAACTTCAAAAGGAAAAACAAGGGATGGGAAGAACCAAAAGAAAGAAAAAAGAAGAGAACCAGGAAAAGGGAAGAAGAAAAAAAAAACAAAAACAAGAATCAGTAATAGGAAAATGGGAAAGTGAAAAAAGAAGGAGGAAGATAAAAAGAATAATTTACATACAGGTAAACAAAAAACAAAAGTTTAGGGAGTGGAGCATGGTACCCAAGCTCTGCCAGAGCACACACTGGGATGAAACTCCCACAGATCAAGGTTTGTGGAGGTGGGTGGATAGCCACAGCCCTGTTCACCAAAAGGATGCAGTGCAGAAGAGTATCAAGGGGAATATTGTACCTCTTTAGTCATCAGTATCCAGTGTGGTTGCCTGTGTTGTCTTTGGCAGCCAGAGTTCACTCCCAAGTCACAGTCCAAGCAAGAAGGCCACCTGCCTACACTCAAAGCATCTCCACTAGCTGCTTGCAAATATTCAAAATGGCTTTGCCCTCAGGACAGCTGCTGGCAGCCCACAGGTCCACCTGTCCCCTTACTGGCTGGTCTCCCTTCTGCTTGTCAGGCACCAATGCAGTCCTTGCCCATGCAGCCTTGGTGAGCAGAGCTGATTCTTAGGTTGCTATTGGACAATCTACTTACATAGTGATACTGCCTCAGAAACCCAAGGAGGGTTTGCTATGAGTCGGATCCGACTTGATGGCAGGGAGTTTGATGTTTGTGGTTATCGGAAAATATTCAAAATGGCTAGGCCCTGAGGACAGCCATCCATCTGCAAGTCCCTTTGTCTCCTTACTCAGTGTTTCATTCAGGTTCTTCCACTGGTTGGTATTTAATCCACTTCCTTATCTTTCGCTTTGAAGCTCAGGATTCCAGGATCATCTTCTGTATTGGTTTCAATTGGTTTCTCATTGCTTTGTTGCAGAGGGTCTCTGTTGCTTGTCTGCCTAGTCCCCCATCTTGCTGGAATTCCTCTAGAGTTTTAATATGGTTTTTATACAAGGTCCAAATCGCAATACTTCCTATTTCACAGAATGTATCATGGATATTAAATGATATATACCTGTACTTATTTAGGGCCTAAAACCAACCAATTAAAATAAATATTTGGTATGAATTATCCAATTTATTTCTTGTAATTTACTCTCTGATTTTCCTACACTTCTAATTTGAAACATAATGGCAATTATTACTATTTATTGAGCATATTACATTACCTCCAATCCTTATGTCTATAATAAAAGGTACTTACCTTGTTTATTTTAGAAGGAAACTGAGGCTCAGAGAGGTAAATTTAACTTGCCCAAGTTTGCATAGTTTGACAGTGTTTGAGCTGAGTTTTGGTTCAAGAGCACTCTGATCCCAGAGTCTTCTATTTTTCATCCATGACTGAGGTACCTGTTTTGTTATTTTTCATAAAATGCCTCCTTTTGTGAAAACCATTTTAAAGGAAGGTTGTGAAAAGAAATAAAGAACTGAATAAATTCTAGGTGCTGTGTAGAATTTCTGTAGTCAATCCTAATTTTGAAGGGAGCTCTGGTAGCTTAGTGCCTAAGGCATTTGACTGCTAACCAGAAGGTTGGCGATTCAAACCCACCAGCCACTCCTCAGAAGGAAGGTTGGGCAATCTACTTCTGTAGTGATACTGCCTCGGAAACCCAAGGAGGGGTCACTATGAGTCAGGTCCAACTTGACAGCAGTGAGTTGGGTTTTTGGTTTTTATGGTAATTTGCATGAATTAGAAAAATTACAAAACAAGATTTAATTATGTAACAATTTCCACTCTGTCTTTCCTATTAATGTATATATATTTGAGATCTCAAAGACTTCATTTGAAAATAAAATCATTCTTAGAACATTCCAGAATGGCCTACTGAAGTCAAGTATATTGGTGCAAATTAATAAAGTATATATTGCTGAATATGTTCTAAATGTAGCACAGTATTTTCTCTTTTCTCTGTTGTGATGATGTCTACCTTATTTCACAGCATGCTTGGAAGACTATACAACTGAATCTGGAACATTCACTTCTCCAAACTTCCCCAGTAATTATCCTAACAATTGGGAATGCATTTATAGGATCACAGTAGGAACCAGCCAACAGATTGCATTGCACTTCACCAACTTCTCCTTGGAGGAAGCCTTTGGTGGTCACTGTGCAGATTTTGTGGAAATCAAGTAAGCACTTTCATTTTTTTTTTTTATCATAATCTTCTCTATTATCACCTGAAAGATTATGAAAAAATACAGAAATTCTCTGTAAAACTCCCTGCTGTGCACTTTGCAAGAGAGAAAATCCAGTGGTTGCTTTGAAGTGATTCTTCTTTCAGGAATAATTGAAAATAAATGGAAGATTTTATTTTATTGAGGAGTGTTGTTGTTGCTATGTGCCATCGAGTCAGACATGGCTCATAACGATACCTCCTTGGGTTTCTGAAGCAGTATCACTATGGAAGTAGATTGCCCAACCTTCCTTCCGAAGAGTGGCTGGTGGATTTGAACCACCAGCCTTCTAGTTAGCAGACAAGTGCCTTAGGCTTAGATACTTAGCATTATTGAATATATACTTCTTTTTGTAAAACAACCTAAATTTTAGGTCGTTCTGTGTCCATTTGAGGAGCTCTGGTGGTGGTGTGCCTAAGGCACTTGACTGCTAACCAGAAGGCTGGCAGTTCAAACCCACCAGCCACTCGTGGAAGGAAGACTGGGCCACCTACTTCTGTAAAGATTTACCACCTCAGAAATCCAAAAAAGAATCAACCTCATGGCAGTGCATTTTTTAAAATTTCTTTTTGGTGTCCATTTAGTCTCATTATGTCACAAAAATGAGGGCAGGATGGCAATCTTATCTTAAAATTTTCCCAAAGTTTTTTGTGTTCAGATAATAGAAATTTAGGTTTGTGAATTTCAGTGCAAGATATTTTTTATTTCATCTTTTTGGCATTTTGAAAGAAGGTGTTTAAAAAGTTATATTTGCAATAAAGGTAAGTTAGCGTATATGTTCATAATTCCCTAGATCATTATATCCAGTTAAATTAATTTCTTTTGGCATGTACCTTTACAATCTTATTCATTTTCAAAAGTCTAGAATATGTATTTTTTAATTATGATGAAAATATATACACCAAAACATTCACCATTTTAACCAAAAATCTAGAATCTTATAATATTTTAAATAAATTTTATCCTATGTTATAAACCAAATCCAAACCAAAATCACTACATGGAGTTGGTTCTAAGCCATAGAAACTCCCATGAGGTTTCCAAGTCTGTAAATCTTCACTGAAGCAGACTGCATCATCTTTCTTCCATGTAGTATCTGGTGGGTTTGAACCGCTGACCTTCTGGTTAGCAGCCTAATGTCTTACCCACTACCTTTTGGTAGCAGCAAATTGCTTAACCTATACCCCACCAGAACACCTTTATGGTATAAAGGAAGGTACTAAAATTTAAATCACATTTGTACCATATCATAAAATAACATAGTGTTCTTAATTCATGGGAATTAATTACTACACTTTAGTTTTAAATAAATCCTATTTTATTATTTTTTTTTCACACTTCAAGCTACAGATTATAAACTACGTTTAAAACTCCAGAAATTCTTGAGGGAGGAAATTATTTACAAACTTGATATATTAAATTTTGAAATGGAAAACATTTGATTGTTCTGTTTAGAATTAAGCAACATTTATTTATGCTGTTAATAATTATGTTTTCTTTACACTGTGTTCTTTGACACATTTGCTAGAGGCTTTTATTTGCAAAGGTGAAGATTAAACACATTTTCTTAATTTATACTTGGTTCTGTAAAATATCCTTCCAACTTAAATTATGGTTATTCTTTATTAAATTTTTAAATGTTATTTAATAAGGTCAAAAATTGAAATTGTATTTTTAGAGTATTTTTGAGAACATTTAATTGACATAAATTGATCTATTTTTAATCCTAAAATTCAAATTATGCTAATTGTGTAGTATATCATTAGTTACTTAGTATATTATCATATGTATTTTGTCACAGAGATGGAGGCTATGAAAATTCACCATCCCTTGGGGTATACTGTGGTTCAAATCTGCCTCCAGTAATCATTTCTCACAGCAACAAACTATGGATAAAGTTTAAAAGTGACGTTTTTATGTCAAGGTCTGGATTCTCAGCTTACTGGGATGGATCAGCAACAGGTAATTAGCAAAGAGCTACCTATTTCTGGAGAGTCTGATCTGGTTTTGTTTCTTGATTTTTGGATTGTTATGCGCTGCCCATCTTGTGTCCATTTTTTTTTTCCACTTGGTGTTGCTATCACTGTTTCTAATAAACTTCAACATTGCAAATATTTCTGAACACATAAGGGAAACATCTAGTTCACTGGTGTGTTTTGTCAAGCTAGACATCTTGATTAGAAAAATGAAAGTACGTAGATGTGAGTTGGGAGTAGAGGCTAGCTACATTTTTGTGATGCAGTTTTATTTTGCAATGAGATTTAAAAGAGAGTAACAGTAGCACCAGTTTGATATAAGTTGTTGTTGTTGTTGTTAAGTTGAGTCGACCCCTCCTTGGGTTTCCGAGTTGTTATCACTACGGAAGTAGATTGCCCCATCTTACTTCCGAGGAGTTGCTGGTGGGTTTGAACCACCATGCTTCTGGTTAGCAGTCAAGTGCCCAGGCACTAAGCTACCAGAGCTCCTTTGATATAAGTAAGAAGATTAAATTTTACCAGGAAGAAAAAGATAAGTGTCATTTCATCTCTTTCCTTTATAGGTTGCGGTGGCAATCTCACGACTCCCAGCGGCATTTTCACGTCTCCTAACTACCCGATGCCGTACTACCACAGCTCTGAATGCTATTGGTGGTTGAAATCCAGCCATGGAAGCCCATTTGAACTGGAATTTGAAGACTTCCACTTGGAGCATCATCCAAACTGCACTTTAGATTATCTGGCTGTATGTATAATGTTTCCATTGCACTATTGGCTGCTCTCATTTCGCCCAACACGTATAATGTGTTTATTTTTATTTTTGAGATTGAGGGAAGGGAAGCATTTAAATAGCATATTGACATAAAACTTTAAACAAACGTTTAATTAAGAGAAATGGATGGAAATGACATTCTATTAAGGAAGCATGTGTTATTGAATTACTTGGAACATTAAGTATTTAAAATATATTGAATATGGACTGTTAGGATATGGTTAAAATCTCCTTAATGGAGTTTTAGATTCATTATAGTTAGTATCTATGTAATTTCTCTATATAATTTGATAAATAACTATAAGAAGTCCTAGGTTATGAATGTCTGACTGGACAACTCCTACTTATCCATTAATGTTATATGTAAATTTGCCCTCATTTTTAAATGATTGAACCAACTCCTACTTACAAAAAATTTTTCATCACAATCACCTTCACTTGCTGCATGTACACTTTCAAATCATTGAAAAGGCTTCAAGACTTTTCTTGGACCCAAACCAAACCCACTGCCATCAAGTCAATTCCTGACTCATAGAAACCTCCGTTGGGTTTCCAAAGGGTGAATCTTTATGAAAGTATGTTGCCTCATATTCCTCCTGTGGAGCAGCTGGTGGGTTTGAACCACTGATCTGTTGTTAGCAGTTAAATGCCTTACCCACTAGAGCTCCTTTCTTGCACTAACATAAACCTAGTATGAACCAAATGCATCTATTCAGACTTACCTACAGTTAAGAATGAATCTCATTTGATTCATCCAGGAGTGCCTGTATTTGGAGGACTGCTTTGTTGAACTTAAAAGATAATTGAAATAATCAAACCAAGACCTTTTACTGAACCAGCAATTCATCATTGCCCACAAAAAAAAAAAAGAGAAACAAACAAAAATGTATTCATATGTCATAAATTTTAAACCATGGAATCAAAAAGAAAGGAGGACAAGTGGTTTTTAATTGTGGTCTCAAAAATATTTATTAGACTTAGCTCACATACTTTCTGCTGTACATATCTGTAACTAAATAGCCTGAGTTCATTAACATTTAAATACACTTGAAAAAAATTACTTCTGGGTTCTTCTATTATTATTTGTTATTTGTATTTCTGTTCCACTTTTCATGGATTTGAAGTCTCTGGATGGTGCAGAGCTGATGCGTTCAGCTGCGCTAACTCAACAGCAACTGGTTTTTGTTGTTGTTGTTATGGATTACGTTATATAGCCACAACTGTCTGGCAGTTACCATGTTTTTATTAAAGGTGTATGATGGCCCAAGTACCAGCTCTCACCTTCTGGCTCAGCTTTGTGGGGATGAAAAGCCCCCTATCATCCATTCTAGTGGAGACAGCATATCTTTAAAACTGAGGACAGATGAAGGTCAGCAAGGAGGTGGCTTCCTGGTCAGATATAGACAGAGTAAGTATCGGCTGCTGGGTGCCTGAAGTGCCCTTAAAACAAACTGAAGTAACTATAGCCTACTGGTTTAAGCAATTGAAATTAATCTTAGTTTCTTATTTATGTGAAAATTTTAACACCTTTCGAGAGAGATACATACGCATTTAATTTAATCTCATGTAACTAAAGCTTTTGTAAGCTATAGAAACATGGATGAATATTTAGTATGCTGAGATAAATTGCCATTCAGCTAAATGTTAATGTAATAGGTTAATGACTAGTAGTTCTTCATTTATGTCAAACATTTTACTACATCTTGTAATTAGACATACTCTACTGCACATAGCATTCTCACACACTAATTTTTTGTCTTGTAGCCTAAAAAGTACCTTAATTTTATTAAGAGAAATTATGGTCTTGTGAACTGTACATGTAGAATTACAGTGGAGAAATCTGGTCATTGTAGAAAGACCATGTTATTTAATACCAAACCAAAGCAAACTCACTGCCGTGAAGTTGGATCTGACTCATAACGACCCCTCTTTGTCTTTCCGAGGCAGTATTGCTGCAGAAGTAGATCACCCAACCTTCCTTCAGAGGAGTGGCTGGTGGGTTTGAACGACCAGCCTTCTAGTTAGCAGTCAAATGCCTTAGGCACTACACCACCAGAGCTCCTTTTTTAAAAGTATATTTTATTGAAATAAAATTTATGTACAGGGAAATACAAAAAACTAAAGTGACATGGGCCAATGTTTTTTTTTTGTTTGTTTGTTTTGTTTTTTTGCGGTGTTCCCTCTCCACCCCTCTTACCACTGGTAACCAACAAAGAAAGTTTCCTTCCATATATACTCCTTTCCTTGACTTTTAACAATAGTGTACTAATACTATATTTGTCCTTCTATGATTGATTTAATTCACTCAGCATATTGTCCTCCAGGTTCACCCATGTTATTTGGTGTTTTACAGATTCTACATTATTCTTCAGTGTTGTGTAATATTCCATTGTGTGTATATACCATAGTTCAGTTGTCCATCCTTCTGTTGATGGACACTTAGGTTGTTTCCATCCCTTTGCTATTATAAATAGTGCTGCAGCAAACATGGGTGTGCATATATCTGTTCTTTTCCTGGTTGTCACTTCTTTAGGATATATACCTACTAATGGGATTGGAGAGACCATTTTGAAAACTGCTTTCTTCATGAGACAACAGGGTGGAATTAAAGGAGAATTGAACAAAAAGCCAAGTGGTCTGGGATTTGTTCTGACTCCTAACTTTAGGTCACTTTTCTTCTCTGGGCTTCCATGGTTTTAAAATGTCTAAACAATGGAGATTAAATTAGATGATCTCTGAAGCTCACTTGTAGAATTAAATACTTTCTAAAGTTAGTTTCAAAATAGAAATTCAATCAAATAGACTTCATGCATTTATGTTATTCATTAAACACTTTGTGTTTTTGAAAGTACAGTTCATTGTGCCATTAAATTTATCCATAATTTTGACTCAATTCCCTAAAAACAGAATTTAGAGTCACAAAATCATATTCTGAATGCACAGTATCTCTGTGGTTTAATTAAAGGAGTACATATGTTTAATCTTGATTGTTTGTGAATTTTAAGATTCCCAGTTATTACATGTGAGGTTTAGTCTGAATTCTAGATAGTTTTGAATACTGGGTTTTAATAATATATAGCTTTGTTCTTCAGAAATCCATCATCAGTGCATGAAAAGTTTTCTGAAGTTCTATTAGCAGTTCATCTGGTTGGTTCGTTGAGTATATAATGGTTTCCCTAATTTTATTAAAGGAGCTCTGGTAGCATAGTGCCTAAGGCACTTGACTGCTAACCAGAAGGCTGGCGGTTCAAACCCACCAGCCACTCCTTGGAAGGAAGGTTGGGCAATCTACTTCCATAGTGATATGGCCTCAGAAACCCAAGATGGGGTCGACTGTGAGTTGGGTCCAACTCTATGACACATAACAACAACAAACAATTTTGTTAATTGCTGTGCTAATTTTTTTCTTGGTTACAATCAGATTGCTTATTCAAGGTCCCTTCTTTTTCTTTTTCATTGAGAGATACTTTTTTCCCTCTGAAAATTTCAGAACACTGAAGGAGTAAATTAGTGGACACAGGTCCTTAATGGTGGAAAAAAATCATAGCCAACCAGTGAGATTTTCTGTAAACTTTGTTATATGAAATTAGAGATTTGCAGATAGCTATTTCTGAGTGCTGAGAGCAGCCCATATGGTCTACTGGAGTATAATTGCTTCTGCCCTGTTTGGCTCCAGTCCTGGAGTCACATGATACCTATCTGCCTAATAGCTATAATATCTCACAGGCATCTAAAACAACAAGTTTTTCTTTAGAAATTCTTTGTGGACAAAACCATGACCTAAAGAGTTTCTAAGAGAAATGGTTTGAGCATCTCTTCTGTTTCAGCAAAGAAAGTTTTTTAAAAAAGCCACAAACGTATACTTTTCCAACCACAGTTTATTAATGGCATTTCAGACATCTGTCAAAAAGTAGTGTTATAGTAGAAATGCATCCATGAACCATGTTGTTCAGAGACAAGCCTTTCAGTCTTATGTTATTTTTCCGTTTTCTCTCATTGTACATCACAATGACAGTATGAAAAAGACTTGAGCAAAGCATGCTCAAGTCCTTAAACTTGGCTGAATTTGGCATTTATTTGCAGAACTCAAGGGGTGTTAAAAACTCAGCTCGAGAAAATGCTATCATTGAAGTCTTTTTTAGAATTTAAAATTTTCATTTCTTCTTTAAGTCATTTATGCTCTCTCTATTCCTTTGATACCTCCTGATGACTAATGAGAGGAATAATGGAGCCTTTCTTGTGAATTTTATGCTGACTTTTGAATGTTCAACAAAGCCATGTTGTTATTCATTTTTAGCATTCACGTGGTACTTTGTGTTATTAAACTGTAAAATTTAAAGGTCAGGATTTTTCTCCTTTCCAAATGTTAAATTTAGAAAAACAAGAAGCACAGAATGTTTAATACATTTTTATAAACAAACAAATCAAATTAATCTCTGGTAGAGCTAAATTATTCTGCTTCACACCAATTCACAGGAATTTGATGTCTATGAATTCACTTCAGCATTATTTCACATTTGTTCTAAATGGAGACACTTTCACTATAAAGATGCCATACCATATATACACTGAAACCCATGTGAGTCAGAACACAATGGAATTGTCTTATTTTTCTGGGTCTTGCAAGTTTTCTGCCTCTGATATGATGCAGTCTTATCACTTTCCTATTGCTCATTTTACATATGCATACATATACACTTACATATAGACATATACATCCTCACACACATGTATATGTGTGTATATATTTATATTTCTAGATTTTTTTTTTCCTTTTTAAAAAGGAAAATCAACATGTATCTTGGAGCAATTATGATATAAACCAAAAGCAAACTCACTGCTATTGAGTCGATTCCGACTCATAACGACCCCTCCTTGGGTTTCCAAGGCAATATCACTACAGAAGTAGATTGCCCAATCTTCCTTCCAAGGAGTGGCTGGTGGGTTTGAACTGCCAGCCTTCTGGTTAGCAGTCAAATGCCTTGGGCACTATGCCATCAGAGCTCCTAATTATGATACATATATATATATCATATATTTATGTAAGAATGTAAGAATCTAGTGGTTCTTATCAATTATGGTTTTTTTTCCCCAGTATGTGAGAACGTGGTAATTGTCAATCGAACGAATGGCATCTTGGAGAGTATACATTATCCAAATCCTTATTATGACAATCAGCGTTGCAGTTGGACCATCCAAGCAACAAGTGGTAACACTGTGAATTACACATTTTCAGCGTTTGAATTAGAAAATCACACAAACTGCTCTGCGGACTATTTAGAGGTATGTATTCTGAAACTAATAGGAGCTCTGGTAGCATAGTGGCTAAGGCACTTGACTGCTAACCAGAAGGCTGGTGGTTCAAATCCACCAGCCACTCCTCGGAAGTAAGATGGGGCAATCCACTTCTGTAGTGATACTGCCTTGGAAACCCAAGGAGGGGTCACTATGAATTGTGTCCGACTCGACACATAACAACAACAACAACATTCTGAAACTAAATAAATCACTGTACTCTCAGATGAAAGTAGATAATCCAAGCTAGAAGTCATCATACTTTTTAGAATCAAAGCCCTATCACTGCCCCCACACATCTATATTACACCAACCAACCATAGTGATTTCACATTTATGTTTTGTATCTTATTCACTGTACTACCTTAATATTAAAGATATTTGATTCATATTGTGTATACAAAGAATGACGTGTGTTTTAGGTTTTGAAGTAATTTCCAGAGTGATTGATTTCATATTATTTAATTTACACAGAGTAGAAAGATAACCTTTCTATTTGTTGGCTGTTTTTAATGTATGTTCTCTATACATAAGAGCTCAGAAAATGTTTAAGTATCTTGAATTTCATTCAGTACCTAATTTGCCTGATAGTAGGAATCATGATTTTGATTCCTGTTTTTATTTTTACCTTCATTTCATTTCAGTTCATTTTTCTTTTTGTAAAATGGAAATTTCTATTTGTTATAATAATGGCAACCAGTAACATTTATTCAGACCTCTATTTGCAATACTATATGATGAAAGTTGCTGCAATATAAGGCAACTCCAAATGTGAGGAAATCTGCTATTTTCACAATATGTTATTTTAAAAAAGTTATTTTGCTTTTTTCTAACTGGCAGATGTAACTTTTACAGATAGAAAGTTAGACAGTTATTTAACTTTGTGAATCTAGGTATGATATCTTCACTAGAAATATTTCTGAAATGACAAGTACCCTATCTTATAACATTAAGATATTTTTTCACCTACTCCACTTATGTACAACAAAATGATTTATGATATTTCTTTTTAAAGGTGATCAGTGAATTTTAGAAATCTTATTTACAATCACATCTAAATTTTAGCACTTGAAGTTTTAAGGTCATATTCCTAGGAAATAAAATTTTATCCGTGTAAAAATGTCGTAACTCTCCTTTTTACCGGTTCTGTCAAGAACTGGGAAAGAAGCTAGTATTGGCCAAAGCAGTTTGAAGTAAACATATTTTTTCCAAATAGTGCTTTGTTTTTCAAATCAAAGAGAATAAAACAACTTATATTTGGAGAGACTTTGTGAAGTCCTGAATATAAGAATGATCCCTAATTTTTTAGAGATATTCTTTGTTAAAAATATTTGTTTTAAAAAAAATTGTTTCATATATATATAAATTTATGTATATATTTATTTATGGGAGCTCTGGTGGCATAGTGCCTAAGGCATTCAACTGCTAACCAGAAGGCTGGTGGTTCAAACCCACCAACCACTCCTTGGAAGGAAAATTGGGCAATCTACTTCCATAGAGGTACCACCTCAGAAACCCAATGAAGGGTTGCTATGAATCAGATTTGACTCAACATAGTGTGTTTTTTTTTTTAATTACTAAATTAAAAATATTTGTTAAAAAATGTTACTTTATATTTAGAAAAGTACAATATTACAGAAACAGTAGACATAGTATTTCTCCACAAGGGACTTAAATTTATTAATATTCAAAGAAAATATGACAACATAAAACTTTAAAGTATTAACTTGTCAATTTTTAAAAACTATTTTTACTTTATTTTATGTTTTAAAAGGAATTAAGAGAAGAAATATATATATAATATATAGATTAGAAGGAGCTCTGGTAGCATAGTGCCTAAGGCATTTGACTGCTAATCTGAAGGCTGGCGGTTCAAACACACCAGCCACTCCTTGGAAGGAAGTTGAGCAATCTACTTCTGTAGTGATACCACCTCGGAAACCCAAGGTGGGGTTGCTATGAGTTGGGATCAGATTGATGTCAGTGTTCTTTTTTTTTTCCTTTTAATATACAGATTACATATGACATGTTAAACAATAATGATAAAAGGCCACGCAAGTGTTGGGATGACATCAAGGATATCATAAATAAAGAAAGCAAACATCATTAAAAAGATGGGGAGGGGAATAGTGGATGTCAGGAGAGACTCTAAAACTTGCTCTTGAACATAGAGTAGCTAAAGCAAAAGGAAAAAATGATGAAATAAAAGAACTGAACAGAAGAATTTGAAGAATGGCTACAGAAATGTATTATACTGAAATGTGCAAAGATTTGGAGTTAGAAAACCAAAAGGAAAGAACATGTTTGGCATTTCTCAAACTGAAAGACTAAAGAAAAAAAATTCAGCTTTGACTTGCAATATTGAAGGATTCTGTGGGTAAAATATTGAATAATACAAGAAGCATCAAAAGAAGATGGAAGGAATTCACAAAGTCACTGTACTAAAAAGATATGGTCGGTGTTCAGGATTCCCGTCCAAGATGGCAGAATAGGCAGAAAGACTGAACAGACCCTCTTCAACAAAGAAAAGGGGAACCAATTAACACAGACACAGAAGATAATCATGGACCCCTGAGCCTCGAAGGGAAGGATATAGAAGTGGACTAAACCCCAACTAGCCGAAGAATTTGCATGAAAATACAAAAAAAGGAGACATACAGAGCTGTGGTCTGGCAGCAATCCTGATGGCACAGACAGCTTGGAGATTGCTGGGTGGTGGTAGAACCTAAGAATTAATCTAAAAATTAGCCTTGCAAGCAAGGGACTGCACGGAGGACTGCTCTGGTGGCTGTGGAATAAAACAGAAAGCAGCGGTGAAGAGGAAGATGGGTTGAGCTGTGGACTTTCACCTGTCCAGAGCGCACCGCCATTTTGAATGTTTACAAGTGGCTTGATCATTTTGGATATTTAAAGAGACAGCACTCTCCCAGGTTCCAGGGGCTTATAAAGAACAGGTTCTGCTTTCCAGTAACCCCAAGGACACTCTGGACCTGCACGACTGAAAAGGTGCAACATTCCTCTTGTTACTCTTATACCTCATACCCCCTGGGTGAATGGAGGTGCGGCCATCCACCACTCCACCCACCTTCTGGGACCTCAGCAACTCCATCCCAGTCTGTGTGCTCAGACAGAGCCTGGGTGCCCTGCCCAGTCCTCTACCAATTGTTTTCTTTTTGTTCTTTTTATACTTTTTTCTTTTCCTCTTTCTTTTTTTCTGGAGTGTAGTTTGCTTGTGTTTGTCTGTTTTAAAACTACTACTATTGTTAATACTTTTGTCCTTTTTGCTATTATTGTTTATTCTTCCCTCACCCCCCAGGTCCTAGTTTATAGCCTTTTTTTCTTTTCTTTGTTCCTGGTTGAAAAAAATATATATTTTTTAAAATTTAAATTCTTTATTTTTCTTTCCTTTTTCCTCATGGTTAACCCCATTCCTTGTTTTCCTTTTTGCATTTTTCTCATTTTTTTCTTCATCATTCTCCTTCTCTATCTTTTTTCTCTTAGTGCCCTATTCTGAGATATTGCAGGTTTTCTTAGTTATTTCTTCTTCTTTTTTCCCTTTTTTCAGTTACTGTTCCTATGTGATTACATGGTGTATTTTTGGTCCATGTGCTTTTAGTTTTTTGATGGTTATTCAGTTGTAATTTTTGTCTAACTGAGTGGGAGACAGCAACAGTCCCCATAGGATACAACTACACCCACACCTCCTGCAACTACACTTACTGAGTGAGAGCCACCATCTCCTTCTCCACTAATGGGCCAATGATAAAAGAACACCAAGAAGAGCCTGAATCACCCTTGGCTGCTCTTCAAAAACAGTTAACAGAGAGCTAAATACAACACCACAATGCCTCAAAAACAATAGACCATCACAAACCACACAAAGAAGTAAGATAAAGTGGTAGAAACAAGGATGCAGGATACAGACCCAGAACACATCCCTGAGGAAGAAGCAGCATTGGAACTCTCTGATAAGGAATTCAAAAGAATTATCTTTAGGTATATTCAAAGGATTGAGAGACAGACCAAAGAAAACACAGAAAAACCTTAGAAGAATTTTGGAAGAAAATACAAGAACAAA